CGACAGTTACATCATGTTTTACATCATCAGCATAAACCAAATCTATAAATGTAATTACAGGCTGAAGTGCAGCGAAGTGACGCAACCACTTAAGTTTCTAAACAGATCAGAAAATTTGAAAATATTTGGAAAGGAAATCTGTCTCGCTTTGGGAACCACTGACTAACTTGGAGAAATCAGGTAAGTTCAATTCAAAAGCTATAATCATCACACAGATGAATGAAACTAAACTAAATGAAAACATCAAGCAGTAAAGTAGAGGGCAACAGACGATTGTAACACAATAAACTCATCCCCGCTCTTCATCCGGTGCTCTAGTAACAATGTCACCAAACAAAAAAGACCCATGTCCTAAAATGAAATCCTTAGAGAGCGACTGATGGTTTGTTTTGGCCTGTTGAGTGCAACTGCATACTGTAACACTCTATGGGTCAGTCGCATTGATTCAAAACAAGACTTTTCAGCTTTGAGGCAGACCTTACGGACACGACCAGAGGACGTAGTGGTCGTTGAGGTGGCAGGAGGCTCCACAGTTGCAGAGTCGTCCTCAGGGCCGCGGATGTCCGACACTCCACTCCTCCTGTCGAGGGGCTCCCCCTTCAGCAGGGCCTCCAGACTGCTGCCATCCACTGCCCCCAACGCATCACGCTTCAGACCCAGTTCCAAATCTGCTATCCACACAAACCAAAACTAATGCGTGCAATGGTATTACATGAACACAGCCACAGACAGGCATTTACTAAATATATTAACACACTTTTACTGGTAAAGTTCTACAAGCGTGAATGAACACAACCGCTTCACTGTATTTGTGATGGGTTTCATCTGAAGGCATACCTGTTTTGAGAGGGGGGAAGGCCAAGCGGGGGTCCTCTGGGGGATGGGAACGCTGTTTCTTCCTCCAGCGACGGGCTGGATAGGTGTACAGCTGCCCTGGAGCTACACCTGATGAGACACAGAACAGTAGGAATAGAAGAACCAGCAGGTGACTATGGCACTTATAACTCTGAAAGTAAATAAATTAGCCTTGTAAGCCTTGTAAGGTGTATTTTCTGCACAGATGGCATGCTTCAAAGTTCAATTTTCTATTTTTTCCTGAGAGTCTGCAGAGTATTTGTTAGTATAATATTGAAGCACTTGTTTTATACCTGCACTACGGTGTCTCTTCTCCATCCAGATGTAACAGTTGGACTGGGCTACACCAGTCTGAGAGTCCAGGAAGGGCATGAGGATGCTGCGCTCAGCACATAAACGAGCATTGTAACTATGACACTGCTCCATGGCATCTCTGTAATACTGCTCTCCCAGCCTGAAACGTGAAAGTTGGACACTGACGGGTCAAATAACACACATCAGGTTAGCCCATTAATCATCGTGCCAGATAAATATTGCAACTTAAACAGAGTTTAAAAAAAAAAAATTGTATATACACTCTTACACTCTCGATTGCAATACTTTTTACTCTTAAAATGGGGATGTGATGAAGTTGTTGGAAACATTTATCTATGCAACGTCTTACACGGATTACATTTTGTTTCTCTTTTTCACATAAAGAAACAAAAAGATAAAAGTCCCTTAAATTTAACTGCCAAAGTCAATTCTTGACCTTGTGAATAGCTGTTTGACAAATTATTAGTCACTTTACTGTTTTTTTAATTATCAAATAGTTTGAATTTGTTTTTTTTTTTAAAGGAATTGTGACCAATATATGTACTAAGAACATTTTACAGCAAAAAAAAGTATTTAAGTGATCTCTGGTCAACAAATTATGTAAAAACATCAATACTTTTACCTCAAAAATATCTAATCTGCCCATATTTACACAGATAAGTGTATATGTGCAATAAGCTCATATCAGCAGATAATCATTAGCCTGGTGCATTGATCAGCTGGGTTCTATTAACATCTTAGAAAACGGACACATTCCCAATGAAACTAATTCCCACATTAAAACACATTTTTCTTGAACGCTTATGTGTCTGCTCACAGAAATAAAAACGTATTTTATAATATGCTCACAAACTGAGTTCAGTGAAAGAGCACCACAAAGGAAAGCGGTGTAATCCCTCCACTTACTGCACATCTATCACACATTGTAATCACATAGACACTTCTCACTTATCCTCCTTTTTCTTAACATTATCACATCTGAAAACACAGCCGCCATCTTCGGGGTGACTAAAAAAAAAAAAACCCCGAACAATTACACCAGACCCCCGAGTGAGTGCCCTTCCTCACACATGCAGTATTTATTCTCTCCAACCAATTTGTCGCATTGTTCTACCACACTGCTCACACACACTGGATGTCCTGGCGATGTACGATCTCTGCATTTACTCAAATTAAATCAAATAAGGACACACACGCACACACACACACACACACACACACACACACACACACACACACAGTATCGATGGAGGGATGTTCAGAACAAAAGGGTTGATTGTTAGCAAAACCCTCTCGTCACAACAAAGCACCCGCCAAAGCTGACAGGTTACTGGAAGATTAACTCTCTCCTTCATCTGCAGTCGGTTGTCTAGCAACAGTTTGGAAATACTGCGTGTGACAAAACACCTTTAAAGAAAAAGGGAACAGCAACGAGTCGCCGAGTTGAGGATGAGGGTTAAAAACACAAGCAGTTCGCCTCCTTTATACATTTGTCCACAGCTAACAAGCTAACCTTAGCTTCAGTGGATAACGTTATTCTCTTGGGACAAATATTGTGTTCAAGATCGAGGCTGCGAGGTTTTAAGTGTCCTTCACTCTGCAGTAATGAAACAACTAACCAATTATACATTCGGCCCCGTGCGGCTGCTCGATTTACTCTTACAATAAATAAAGGTAAACTTACACTTTCACAACACTGTCGACGGCCGCCGCCATGTTTGCTTATTGCGGTTGTGTGAAGTGCCACTGCGCCTGCGCACACAGGTTATCGACCGTTACTGCCTCCCAGGGTGAAACACATGAAGTGCACATTTAATGGCTGCTAAATGATCCTCGTTTAATCAATGCAGCAAGACACTAAAGCACTTCTTGTTACTGGTAACAAGATTATTATTTTAATAATAACAAACAAAACTTTTTTTTTTATCTTTCATCCTCTGTTTGATCCCTTAATTTCGTTAATTTATTCAATTTATTCAAACTTTTCTTACTGGCATCGACCAGCCCACCAATTATACTCCTAAAACTTTTATTATTTTAGTTCATACTGGGCTCAAAAATAACAAATAGTTAAATTACTTACAAAAAAGCACAGAGCAACAACTCAGATATAAAGTAACACACAGAACATAAAACCAGCAGCACACATCCACCAATCATAAAAAAAAAGACCAGTCCAGCAGGATAACAAAAATGAAACAGGAATCAACACAAAACATAATTAAAGCTGAAAGTCACTGTGCAGGATGTGGGTGATCACGTGGTGCACATAAATAAAGTTGTGTTGCCGCAAATAACCCCAAACTGGGTTCAGATAGTATTGCAGTATACTGATTTGGTTTCTGGGTCCCTGCAAAATATAATGAAGCTGCTATCTAGTGAGCTCAACTTAATGGGACTGTGGAGGCAAATATAAAGCCATTAAAATACTTATTTCAGGTGTGTTTGTCGATGAGCATATATCTAATGTTATTGTCAGCCCAAAAAGCCAAACACATAGGGTCAATTTGCTTTAGCCTTTATTTTACTGTGGGTTTTTTTTTTCCTCCATCATTTACAAATGACAAATCAAATCCTCCAGCCATGGATAAATTAGAAACAGATGCCATCTCAAGTAGGCCGGACAATAGAGTAACTGTGCAGTTTTGTCTGCCACCCACACATGAGCCGTCTCTGACTGGACAAACACACCACTGTCAACTCGGCCGTCACCTTTGCTTCCAGTTTCCAGACTGGAAAGATACGGCAGCTGTTCTACAACTGGTTTCAAAACTATCCACAACTATCCCTGCAGCTGCATAATTGTGTTTCATTTCATATCAAAATTGTCTAATTTAAAACATCTGGGTCTTAATGTTTACTGATTGGTCCAATATGTTTCTGAAATGGACTTATAATAGGAGCTTGTGAGATGTAATCTGGCAGCATGAGGCAGTAGTTTCTACTCAAGTGTACATTTCTGTGAAAGCCTTCAATAAGTACTCCAGATTTTGTGTTTCTGGTCTATATGCTCACTCCTCTTGAGACCCAACCACCACATAACAACTGTGTCACATCACCTAGGCCACATTAAAATTAAAAGAAGCCAGATTACCTTTTATATTTACCTTTAAAGGAGCAATATAGACTGACAGCAAGTTTTTAAAATGAGTACCGCAGTCCGGATTTAAAATATTGTCACAAGTTGTCTCTCTCTGCCAACCCCTCATCCCCAGACTAAGCTCACCTCGGTTGCCAGGTTGCGCATCAAAACACCTTTGTTATACATGTTATACAGCAGATAAATCCAGTTAGAGTTTAACTTGATTTATGTTTATACCATCACATAATTTGTGATATTGCTGTAATAATTCTTACTTTAAAATGAACTGATTTCCAAGTGTTAGTGTCTTTTATTCTTTTTCTATTTGAACTATATGTAAATGTTGTCTCTACTACACATCATAGGCAAATATTGTGCTTTTTACTCCAGCCCACTATATTTGTCTGACGGCAGTTGACACAACAAGTGCTAATTGTAACCCGACTAACCTGTTTCATTACAAATACATCACAGCTGCCTGTATGCTGGTGTCCTTTTTATTTTTTTGCCACTAACCTTCAAACACAGTGTTTTCTGTCAGGAAATAACTAAGATTGGTTACAGCTGAGGAAAAATTACACCTAAAATGCAAATACCATCATTTTCATTCTTCAGAACTAACCTAGGAATGATTTTATGGGAAAGCAACGAGATATAAATGATCTGTCATCCCTCAGTTAATTTCTATCAAGCACCATGAGGGGCAGAGGGGAGGGAGACAGGCAGAGGGGGACAGGCAGAGGGAGGGAGACAGCCTGCTGGAGGAGTCTGCATTTATTCCCAGACAGCCAAGCAAACAATCAGCAGACTGGTAAGTTTACCAGAGAGTGATTTTCATTTATTCATTTGTCTGATTTGTTAAAACTTGTTGAACAGTTAACTAACTGCCAGCTAATGGCTCCTGTCTACATTTATGTTTGCTGACATTAATCTGGCTGTAATACAACAAACATCTACTTGAGGGCAGCTGGTACTAGTAGATAACAACGGAGTGAGCAGAGGTGGACTGTAACTAAGCAAAGTGTTTTTGCTCACTAAGTATTTAACGTATGTATAGTTGTGAGTTTATTAATGTTACCTGAATATTTACATTTTGTGGTGGTTATTTTATAACTCCACTTATTATACACATATCGTACTTTTTACTCTTTATTTATATATACTTTTTGTACTTTATTTGACAGCTATAGTTTTACTGTAGTTTATGTTAGTTTTTAGAGTAAGATTATAAGAATCTATAATGAGAATATATAACACAGTGACTTGTTCTACATTAAATTACCCAGCATCATATTGTTAGATAATGACCCATCGATTTTCAAATGCTGTTTACAATGTAATGCATCAGTAATTAATAACGCTAAAAGTACACTCTATAATAAGGATTAAAATAATATAAGTAATGCTTCACTAATTCATGTGTGAGTTTAACACAAAAAGTCACAGTGACTTTACAGGAATTTATGATATGCATTAATTCATGCATTATATCTTCATGAGTCGTGCATTAGTTAAATATTACTTAAGTATATTTGTACCCTTAAGTGTTCCCAGTACTTTTACTTTTGATACTTTAGGTACTGGTCACTGATACAACTTCTATCATTTTAAGTATAATATTGTAGCATCCCTGTGGATGGGCATGAAGGGACGGATCCTGATTTAAGTCTCATGTTGAGGCATGTTTCTGCACTGTTAATGTAGTTATAATGTGAATTACAGTGTGTTCTTTCACATTATCGTAGAACACGTTTATTACTAGCAGAGGTGTGAGCCCATAAGTGTGGTTAGGTGTACTATCAGTGATGATGAGCTGGGCGTTTTAGTATGAAGTGATTCTCTGCTTGGTGCTGATAATAAAGAACTGTCATGAGTTAACCACAGATCACCATTAATTTATTGCTTTGGTAATGCAAGTCTTTACTTACTGAGGGTTTTATATTGTGGTATTGCTACATTTACTTAAGTAAAGCAGTGATTTCCAAAGTGAGTGAGAGAGACCTCAAGCTTCACCTCTGTGCAGTGAGTTAATACAGTGGGCAGGATGTCTGCAGGTCCTAAATACAAAATTAAAATATCTTAAATTATTTAAATGTACAAATATTTGATAGTAAGTCATTTGTATCAAGTTCAAAAGGAAGCATTTAGTTTCTTTTCTAAATGTAATATGATAAATCACCAATCATTAGTGACTTTACATGCAGTGTATGATGCACATGAATATGAGTAAACCAGTAAGAATATGCCACTATTGTTGGTTAAGACAACAGATAGTGGTGGTAACCTAAAGTTAAAATAGAAATTACGCTTTTGATTACCATGTTTTTCTGGAAATCTTGAAAAAGGATGCGTCAAAAGTGGGACCATATTTTTTAAATAAAACATACAAAGTATGATCTTGTCTTTCTGTAAAGTTTATTCTAATCATCCATAATTGGACTCAACGCAACCCTCACACACTCCCATATGTGAAAAGAGTGACAGTTAAAAGAGGCAGTATCCCTTTGTCACTGTAACACAGTTACACATTCCTGGGTTCTGGGTAAACAAACTGATAGTGTGGTGCAACAATGGGTCTTTAGGATGTCCTTGGATGTTCAGTGAAGTCTCAACATCCCGCTGCTTGCTTGGACATAGAGTGTAGATAGAGAAAGAGTCAAAGGGTTATGCATCTGTATCTGCTTTTGTGTACTTTTTATCTCAGGGTTGATGGAAGTTGTTTTTTCTAGCTATTTTTCTGTGTGCTTAGATCAAGTATGCAAAACCTTTCCAAATCTATGTAAAACCTTCTGTCTCTCTCTCTCTCTCTCTGCTGCTTCATATCACTCCACTAAGACCCCAACAAACCCATGAGTTTGAACAGGCGCAGCAGCAGTTGGTTATCCCAAGTCCTCAAAGACTTCATGGCAGAGCACTTCAGGCTTCAGTCAATGAGATGATAGGCAAGTACACCGCGCACACACACACACACACACACACACACACACACACACACACACACACACACACACACACACACACACCCACTGCCACCCTCCGTCTGAAATGATCTGTGATTGGTTAAAGTCTCCCATCATTGGCTATATTTTTTAAAGCCTGAAAATTCAAGAGTCAAGAGGAGGTGCAGAAGTCTAGATTTCTCTCAGACCTCTTTAATTACAACATGCTGAAAGGTTATTATGGAATTTTTTCCCTAATGACGGCAAAAAAACCTTCTGCCTACACCGACTTTAAACTTCGGAGCATCATTGAACTAAACTCTTTGTGTCGCTTTGTTGTCTGAGCGCTCGCTGCTTCTAGAAATCATCTCTCATGGGTCAGGCCAGTAGATAGTAATCCATCGCAACACTAACCATGTTATTGGGTTACCAGAATGTAAAAGAATGGATCACTGGTACATTTTTCTCTAAGGCCATATTACATGAGCTGCCTTCTTATTTATTCTTTGTTCTCTACTGACTTTAAAAACTGCAGTAGTTATAACCTACATGGACAAATGATGTGTTTCATTCCTCGAACTGTCTTTGTTTTTGCACCATCATCATCTTGGTAAGAGCTACAGTCACCTTGAACTAGATGACACATTTTTGGTCATCACTCAAGAATTGATGTGGGAAACATGACAAAATTTAAACAGCTGTTCAATGGGATAAAATGATGACTGGGACAAAACAATGAGAAACAAAAAAAACAACAAATGTAACTCTTCATTCTGAAGATGAATGGTAAATGGACCTGTAGCCTACTTGTATAGGGCCTTTCTAGTCTTCCGACCACTCAAAGCGCTTTTACACTATATGCCACATTGACCCTTTCACAAACATTCACACAGTGATGGCAAAGCCCATCAAACGGAAACTAGCTCATTCATACACATGCACACACCGATGCACAGCATCAGGAGCAATTTGGGATTCAGTATCTTGCTCTAAAACTCTTTTTTTTCTCTCCCCAGGTTGTTCCACTAGTTTTACCAGTCCTGTTTGTTTTTCCACATAGTTTCCATTGAGGGAGCAACAGTCAGTCCGTGAGTCTGTTAAGTTAGTCCAAGATGAGCCTGAACGTCCCAGGACTGGTGGTGATGGTGTTCTTCTACCTGCTGGTGCTGGGCACCGGCATCTGGGCCTCCATGAAGTCCAAGCAAGTGCACAAAAGCAGCCAGGCAGACCAGACAGAGGTCACTCTGCTGGGCAACAGAGGCATCAGCCTGGTGGTGGGAGTCTTCACCATGACAGGTGAGTGTGATAAGGGCAGTAAGTAAGTAGAACAAATTGTTTTGGGTAACATCTGGATGATCTAATTTTTGAAATGAAAGCAATCGTCATAATTAGTCGTATTTCAGTACATTTGAATTCCAATGTGATGTAAGTTGAATATTTACATATATAATTTACACAATGTACACTGTGCACTCTATGATGTCTCATACAGTTTTTAATTGGTAGAGGAAATTAAAGCCTTCCTTATTTTAGGGACTTTACCATTTCTCCGTTGATTAGTTTGTAAAAACATCAAGAACATTGACAGTATATATAATGGGCAGAGCTTCTGGGTCTGTGAAGTGAAGCCAACATAATGTCCTACACTTATATTCTATGTAATGGACAACAGGGGGCAGCTCCATTGGCTGCAATCACCCACCTATAGCATGTAGTCTTACAGAGAAATGAGCCGACTTCTCGCTTGATTTATTAACTCAAGAAACTGTTTCCTAATGAGTTTATCGCCTCAATTGTTAGTTACAAGTCTTCTTCCATCCAGCATTATGTTAATTTAGTAAATTAAGGTCCCATTTAGAGTAAAATAGACGAGAGACAATAGTTAATATTTCAAAAATTGTTTCAGAAACACAGTTCTAAAACAAGATTGTGTGTGACAAAAGTTCTGCATGGTGGAAAATATAGTGTAAACTGGGACCTAAAATGCATTGCTGGCTTTAAAGGTTTAATAATACCAATAAAGATGTGGAATATTTTAATGTTGGTTGAAACGCTGATCCTTAACTGAATTTTTAGTTTTTATTTGTATGAGGAAGTAGCTGAAGGAATATTAATAGTTGGTAAAGGGGGGAAGAATGGGACAAAAAAGTCAGATAAAGCTAATTTACTTCAGCCTCAACAGAAGGTTACAATGTGATCAATGATGGTCGGTACGCTGCTGCAAATCTGTCTCACAAATAAAGGGAATATTTATGTGTGTGTGTGTGTGTGTGTGTGTGTGTGTGTATGCATGTTTCCTACAGCTACATTTGTTGGAGGGGGCTTCATTGTTGGTCTGACAGAGGCAGTATACACTCCAACCATGGGACTCACCTGGGCTGTCATGCCAATGACAGCAGCCCTGTCTTTCATTGTTGGTAAGGTTTTCAGGTTTTCCCTCACTATGATATTGAATATCATATTTTCTTTCCATTAGTGACATCACAGGTAGCTGTGACATCATACTGATCCTCAGCTGAAATACTGATTTTTTCAGGTCAGGGTTTATATTCGTAGATATATGCGTGTATTAGTTGTTTGTAGACATGTCTTGAAAGACCTTAGGCTGTCAGCACAAACTAGTGAAGACTTACATTTGCGTTTTTCAAATGTACATTAAAGGGGAGCTCCACCATTTTACACATCAACGTCCGTTTACAGCTCTTGGACAAAATGGACAAAATGCAGGGATACATGCAGTGACACAAATCTGTCTCCCTCTGTGTGATTAAGGTGGACTCTTCTTTGCCAAGACAATGAGAGACCAAAAATATGTGACAATGATGGACCCGTTCCAGATCAAGTATGGAAATGTAATAAGTGGAGTTCTGTCTGTGGTACTGTTGACATCTGACATAATCTGGGTAACAGGAACTCTAATTGGTTTAGGTAAGTGCTGGTGATGTCAGTTTTCTCTAAAAGTCACATTTTTCAATAATATAATTTGTACTTCCTGCCATTGTTTACTATTGTAATGAAACCTGCCTTTGATTTGCTTGTAATTTAATAGGTAAGAAACAAGCATTTTGTCTTTGGGACAGTATATTAATTCAAGGAATATCACCGAATGAAATGCTAAAACATGTTTAAATACCTTCATGGAGACAGAATAAATATGACTACGTGTATTAGTGACAGCAGTAAAACAATCCTTAAATGACCTACATGTATAAACCTGTAAAATGTGTAGTGTAGTCTGCTTCCATAAACTCAGTCATGGAATACTGTAATACAGCTGAGTAGAGCAGTTTTGACAATAATCAATTACAATCATATGATTCTGAAACATGAGTCTGTGTTACTTCCTAGGTGCAACAATGAGCGTGATCCTGGATTTGTCCTATACTTTCTGCATTTGGATCTCTGCCGCAGTAGCCATCATCTACACACTACTGGGAGGCCTCTACTCTGTGGCCTACACAGACATCATACAGCTAACACTCATATTCTGTAGCCTGGTGAGTCACTTCACTTACATAGAACATCATTTCTTCCAAAAGCTTGTACAGCCAATTCATCTGAAAACATCTTGAAGCATGTTAAAGCCCATTCTGGTACTTCAGATTCCTTGACTTCTTGCCAAGGCTCAAACCTTCTGCCAGTTGCACCAGCAAACCAGTTTACATATGTCAGTGGTTTGTTGTCTTTTCCGCAGTGGTTATGTGTCCCGTTCATCCTGATGAGCCCCCATTCAGTTGACATCACCAAGACCGCTTTCAAGTTTACCTACCAGGCTCCCTGGATCGGTTCGGTGGATAAAGACAGAGCTTGGAGATGGATTGATAATTTTTTGATATTGGTAAGTACTGCATTCAGTAATTTCATACTTTTACTTTAGCTGTTTCAGTTTCAGGGTCCTGGTATTATGCATGCTGCCACGCTGTCACTGTCAAGTCTTACTGGGTCACTTGAATAGGGCAGGGCCATTGTTGAGGTAGTAACCTGTAACAAGTTTTACCTCTCTGTACTATGCCTCCAAAAAAAGGATATGATGTCAAACACAATTTATCCTGGTAACTTACGGGTATGAGGAGTTGACCCAGAACATTCCCTGTTTATGTTGCTATCAAATGCCAATCAAACAAATACTTCAAAAAGAAGACTTCCACTGATTATGTATGTACTTTTGAAATTAATAAAGGTGAAACAAGACTAGATTGTACAAATCAAAGCAGTGTGCACAAGTATCTCTCTATCTTAAAGATACAGTAGACTGTTCAGTGGACCCAGGTCTTAAGAACAGACCACCTCGCTCTGGTTTTGAAATCCTTTCTTCGATCCATCTTCATGTTTCCTTTCATTTGGAAGGTGGAACGAATTCACTGTTATCTATTTTGTGATATGTGAAATTCCACCTATTCTGGTCACATGTTGTCCATTAAAAGTGAAGTGACACAACTATAAATAGTTAGGATGTCATTGTGGTCTTTGATGTACAGAGTGATGGCAAGTGAAATATAGAAAGAGTGGCTTTGTTTGTTTTTTTATAAGGCTCTGGGTAATCTGGGATATCAGGACTTCCACCAGAGGACCCTGTCAGCTTCCTCGTCAGCCACAGCCAGGATCACCTGCTTCATTGCTGCTCCCCTCATCTTCATACTCGGAGTCCCGTCTGTGTTGATCGGAGCAGTTGCAGCATCAACAGGTACAGCGACAGAATTAAACAGGAGAGAATAGCAAGACAAATGCGAATTTCCGTTACATTTTTAAATTTTTTGTGTCAGACTGGAACATGACCGAGTACGGCTCCCCGTCCCCATACGAGCGTGGAGAGGCCAGTCAGGTTCTGCCTATTGCTCTGCAGCACCTCACCCCACACTACATCTCCATCATCGGTATCGGAGCTATAGCTGCTGCCGTGATGTCGTCAACAGACTCGGCTTTACTGTCAGCCGCCTCCATCTTCACAAACAACATCTATAAGAACATCCTGAGGACCAAGGTAAGAGGAGACCAGGGAGGGAGGCAGACTGCCAACCAGCTAGAGCTGGGGTCTGTCCGAGGTTTCTGCCTCTTAAAAGGAAGTTTTTCCTTGCCGCCGTCGCCAAGTGCTTGCTCATGGTGGGAACTGTTGGGTCTCTGTAAATAATGTTATAAGGAGTACAATCTAGACCTGCTCTATTTGAAAATAGATAACTTCTGTTATAAATTGGCGATATACAAATAAAATTGATTTGAATTGAACTGAAGGGAAGAATAGACTTGTGGTTATTTCTCCCCCCTCTTTGCAGGCCTCAGATAGGGAGCTCCAGTGGGTGATCCGAGTCACCGTGGTGTTGGTGGGCTTGGCTGGCACGTCGCTCACCTTCCTCAATAACAGCATCATGGTTTTCTGGATCCTGGGCTCAGACATAACCTACACCATCATGTTCCCTCAACTCGTCTGCGTTCTCTTCTTTAACATCTGTAATTGCTACGGCTCCATCATGGGCCTGCTTGTTGGACTGTCATTGAGACTTCTGAGCGGTGAGCCGTCCATAGGTTTGCCTGTTGTTCTCCACTTCCCAGGATGCACTCTTGAGGACGGTGTTTATGTCCAGCGCGCTCCTGTTAGGACTATCTGCATGTTGTCCACCATCTTTGCCACTTTGCTGTTCTCCTACCTGGCTTCACTGCTCTTCAGAAAACGAGTGATTCCCGAGAGGTGGGACGTGTTTAACGTGACAACCCCGAAGCAGCCGCAGAACCTAATATCAATGAGCAATGGCACCATCATAACAGGCGGGGAGGAGAAACCGGAAGTTCAGAATGAGACTGAATTGATGTTGACCACAATCAGCAGGACAGAGAGAGAAATCATTTAATGGGATGCTAATATGTTTTGTATAGAGCTATCTTATCACGTCTTTATTTTTATACCAAATACTTCCGTTACATCGGCACATGATGTAACACTATGGTGACTGGGCCTGTAGCCCTCGGATGAAAGTATTGCAATATTTATATATTTGCAGTATTATAAACTGGTTGTCTGTGGCGATATTATAAAAGGCTGTATTAAGGTACTGCTAATGCAAACCGAACATTTACTACTGCTAACCCTCACCCTGACTTCTTTATTAAAATGACAACACTTTGTTTAGCTGCCTCTGGAATTCTGTAACCAGACTAACTTTAATCTTTATTATTTTCTTACGGGATGGGGTCAAAAATCATCACTTGCATCCAGTGCATGTGTTAGTGAATTTATGAATTTATGAATTTATATGTGTTAGGGAATGTATTGCTTTGGTAGTGATGGACAGTCACAGTAACTGGATTTACTTAAGTACTGTTCTTATGTGCAATTTTGAGGTACTTTTCATGAGTATTTCCATTTTCTGTTAATTTATACTTCTACTACTATATATTAGAGAGGGAAATATTGTACTTTTTACTCCACTTCCCTACTTTTAGTAGAACCTTCAGGGAACATTCCTTTAAGGTTCTCTCAATGTTATATTTTATCTTTAAAACTGAAATCTGCAGTGAAAAGATTGAAATAGGTCCTTTTTTAAATTTAATTTCAATTCATAGTATAGTCGTGTACTGTATTGTTACTTTTACTGAGACCATCTGAGTACTTATTCCATCACTGTGCTTTGGTTAGTTTATTGTAAATTTTAAGTGGGGTATGTATTAACTGATCCTGTTGACTTTTGTTGCTGGTACATGATACGGTGGTTATTTTATGTTTAACTAGTATCAAGATTCCCATATTGTATCACAATCAGCACCTGTGTGTTTTGTTACTCTTATCACCCTCCCAGTAAGAGGGAAAACTGGAGGTGGCAGCTAAAAAAATAAAAAAGTAGAATTAGATTTGTTGTAATATCTAATTTTCAAATGTTTATACCATTGTCTAATTTAGTGATAATATAAGAAAAGATGAGATAGACTTTTTATTACTTTATATTGATCCCACATAGGGACATTTGTTTGTTACAGCAGCTCAAGAAACAACACAAGACAATAGATAAACAAAATACACATTAAATATAATTTAAAATATAGAAAAAGAAGAATAAGAATTATATGTTCATCATACACTGTTTTATATAGGGTACTAATGTGATTTTTTTTATATATATAAAAATTTTATTTAACACAAGTGGATAACAAGAGTAGTTACAAAACCAAATAATTTACAAAATGACAACAGAAACACAACATAAAAGAAAAAATAATCAGGAAGACAAAGAAAAACCAAACAACACACATAAACGCATGTGGTTGATGGAACACTGCACAGAGATTATGGCAAACATTATTAAATACACACAGTATGTAGCATTATAATAAATATATATATACACATTGCCTTTGCACAGATATTACCAGAGGAGTGTAGAAATAAATATAAATGCACAGGGGAAAAAACATACAGTAAGTGTAATTTACAGAAATTATAGGCTTAAATAGGTCTAAATATAATGCTATAAAGAAGATGTAACCTGTATTTAAATTACTTTCGGATGAAGTGAATAAATGTACCTTTGTATTTCTGTGCCGGTAATTCCTGGTTCGGCCTTGTTGTGGCAGTAACGCCGCATGAAGTTGAAGTCTTGACCACTTCAGTAGAAAACAAGGAAGCGACTGTAGAGCAGCATGATTGTCAACTGACAGAAGTAGCTGTCCGTTGATTGTCTTTTCATTGGCGCGTTAAGGTGAGACGATGCACAGCAATTTATCAATGTTACTGTAATCGTTAAATTAACCGTTAAAAGTGCGTCGACGTCCCGAATTAAACGGAATGAGACTCGGCGAGAGTGCGAGTGGGTGAAGTTAGCATGGTAACTTCGCTAGCTCGGTTAGCTGCAACGTTAGCCACCGACCGTTGACGTTCTCCCGTCGACCGTTAACGTTCTCCCGTGGAACGTTCGTTTGAATTCCGTTGATAAACGTTCCAGACTGATAATGACGTCAGTCTCCCAGAAGCTAACTTTTCCCAGCATTGCGACAGATACACGCGAGTTAACGCTAGGCACAGTGGGCAGCAATGACAGTGAAACACGGTCTTTAAGTGTTTCTCGAAGTGGAGTGGAGGTGGCGGCTCATACACATAGCCAAAAGCATCAGTTTATTAAGTGTTGGTAAAGGTATTTGAACGTCAGTGAACCTCAATCTTAAAGAAGTTCCCTCAGATAACGGTAAGAGACAGCCCACTGCAGGTAGCAGGTCAACGCATTCATTAGTTACTTGCCGAGCAACATGGGTTAGTCACTAAAATGCAGCGTAATTGCTGATACCAGTGAACTTTCTCCATCTATAACGTGTGTAGTTATATCTTGCATTGTAGAGCTGATTGTGATTGTTCTTCAGTTAACAGGCTGCACATGACTTCTTCAGTGTAGACGCTGATGCACAAACATTCATTTTAGGTTTGATTTCACGATACATATATAATATATTTGAGTTAATTTTATTGTTCTTGGTCAGTTTTATCATGACAGTTACTAAATTGTGGTATTTAATGTGTACTTTTCCATCTGCCTGATAACCAAAACATTCAAAGGGGATCCCCAGCAATTTAGTATAGCAACTCCATAAAGATAGGAAACTTACAAGAGACAGACTGGTTGAGATATCCAGACTTTTAGTCTAGTATTGCTCTAATATAGTTGGATTCTTCAATTTCCATAATGGAACTCGATGGGATAGGAAAGAAAGAAAATCTTTTTTAACTTGAATCATAGTAGGGAAAGGCAAAAACACACACTGAACTCAGGGAACTCTGCTACACCCTGGATCCCCAGGTAATTGCCCACGTCTTTTAATCTTCATGTTGTAGCGCTGGCTTTCTGTGTAAAATTTGTAGTCTCTAGGCCTAATCTGACATTACACAACTGATGTGTCTGGAGTGGTTTTATTTCTCAGACTTGACAAAGCCACTAAAGATAGACTGTTCACACAGCCTGTGTAGTACTCCTTATAACTCGTAAATCGACTTAAATCAGTGGAGTGCCTATTGAACAAAGTCAGTTAAATCAGTATATCAGATCAGTTGGCACTAAATGTGAAGCAGAAATATGAACTGATGTGTCTGAATTTATATGTATTACCCTGCAGCAGCTTCTTCACACAGTCGTTTATGTTTACTTATTAATCTCAACAGCTGATCCATTGCAGAAATGGAGGCTGGTGAGGAGAGTATGGAAGTGGAGGGGGCGACGGCGGCAGCAGAACCAGGCTTTTCTGGATACCGACAGACTTCCACAAAACCGGTTTGGGCTTCGCTAGAGGAAGCGGCACAAATGAAAACAGAAGGCAATGCTTTCTACAGGGAGAAGAACATTCGCTCAGCCATCGGGCGTTATCATCGCGCCCTGCTGGTCCTCAGAGGCCTCGACTCTGATGTGATGACTTCAGTGAAAGGTTTTGGACCTGAGACGCCTCCCCTCACACCTGAACAGGAGGCTGCACTGAGAAACACACAAGTGGACTGCTACAACAACTTAGCTGGTAGATAAAACATCATAACCAATCAAAGTGCAGGGGTGAAAAGAGTAGTAGGTTAGACTTTAATATATCCCAGGTTGATGATTATTGAGTATCAGTTAAGTAGTTTCATGTAGTCTCTAGTTGTATATATGGAGTTTATTTCAATGTGAACTGGATCTACCAACAAACCCCTCTGCAATTCAGTGATGCTCCTTTTTTCACTGACGTGCCTTATGTGGGAAATTGGCAGTTGAGTACAGTATCATGTACATACAGTATATATATCTCTTTCAGCCTGTTTGCTGCAGAAACAGAGTGTTGACTATGCTCGTGTGCGGGAGTACAGCCTGCGGGTCCTGCGGTGGCGACCAGGTGACGTCAAAGCACTGTACAGGGCAGGAGTAGCCACTCTGGAGATGGGAGATGCACAGACTGCCAAACAGTATCTCACACAGGCCTGCAAAGAGCAGCCTAATGGTAAGAAAAGAGAGCCAGCACATCAGGATAATCCACAGCAGACCATTGTCCATATGAACAGTCATTTATTTACATATCTCTGAATTTCTCAATGCAGTCTGGCCCCATAGCTTCAGTCCTCTATCAGTGTCCACAGTAGAGCCACAGCACTGTTGTGTGGTAGAAGTGTTTTGGAAGCAGTCAATGTAGTTATATTATTCACTGAGAGGGAAATAGCCTTGAGGTGTGAAAATATACCTTGCGTAACAGAACCATTACGTGACCTGTATAGACAGCTGCATTGATTTTAATTGGAAACTATTTATGACTAACATAGTATAAAAGTGTCTATTGTAGATAGTCTGTCATATTTTCACAAATCATTTTAGATGGATATTTGTGTTAAATTACAACTTTCTCCCCATAGGTAATAATTAATGTTCAGACTGTTCTAGTGCTTTTGAGCCACAAACCAAAATATGCTTATTCACTTTCTTGCCAAGAGTCAAATGAGAACATCAATACCACTCTCATATCTGTCCGTTTAACATAAAGCTACAGGCACTAAAACTCACTAATTAACATGTTATATCTTCTCTGAATGAGATACAGCTTTTAACACAGCCTGTATTAAAGGTCTTTCAGAGTGAATATTTGAGGCTGTGCAAATTCATAGCTGGTAAACACCAAATAGCAATCTGTATTCCTACTATTTTATGGACTGATATGCTAGTCTATTCATGAATTTTCTGTTCACTAAAAGCTTTTTCTCTCCCTCTCTCTTTTTTTGCACCTTGTTTATTTTTACTCAAGGACATTTGGCTCAGAACTGCTGCATAAATCACATCCATATCTCTAGCATAATTCTGCAGATTCTCTCCTCGCCTTCTCCTGCATATGTGAACACCTGTGGGATAAAGGAAAAGTACACCTTTCCAAAATAAAACGTATTTTTCTGTTGCAGATGCCAATGTGAGGAAGCAACTGCAGAGGGCCGAGGAGAAACTGAGTCGGGAGTTGCAAAAAGAGAGGGCCATGTACCGAGGCATGTTTTCCTCCAACCTGAAGAGCAGCTCCGGAGAAGAGATTAACCAAACCAACGGAGCTGGCGAGGGAGTTTAAAACCTGTCAGCTCAGCCAGCCAAGTAAAGCCTCAACCTGAGAGAGACTGTGTTAAATCTCATCTGATCACAAAACCAACTGCAGAATGTTCACACACCTTCAATCTCTCGTCATGTTACTGTGTCTCCTTTTAGGTGTTAATGAAGGGAGCATAGTACAGTAAGAACTGTACATCATACTGAATACTGGAATGTGGTCAGTCGGAAAAGATGTCGCTGCTGAAAATAGAAAGGAGAGGACAGAAAAATGTGTTTCCTAGCAACATGGAAACAAAGCTCAAAAAGAGCAAGAGTTTGGATCTGCTGAAAACTAAAGTGAGATTCTTAATGCACTACTCCAAGTTCTCGTTATGCCTTTATGGTTGCAGTTGTCTGGTCAGTGCTGTGAATGTTGATTTTGAGAGTTTTCGAATAAAATATTTTTTATAAATAATGTTCAAGCTCAAGACGTCTTCTTAAAACTCATTTCATTGTAACAGATTGTATAATGTAGGCATTTCAGGCACAGTACACATAGTCATAAGTTTATTTTATTAATAGTAAGCCATGAGAAGCCACATTTTGTCTCAAATAACGCATCAATATTTTAATCATTCAATATTTATTTGAAAATCCTGAGCACAATATCAAGTTAAAGAGTATTTGCTTAGTTTTGGTCATTATCTGGCCAATATGATTGTACTTCAGAGGCAATATTACCCATAAACAAAGAGGAATATCACATTCTCACAATAGCTATAATCACTGAACAAGTCACAGAGCAGCATGCAGAAGGCGGGTGTACATACACATTCATACTCATGGTTACAGGAGAATTCAACCAATATGTAATGAAGCTGCTTATAGCCAATATTATGAGTTCATAGTCAGTATCTTCAAATCAGGATACTTTTCAACCACAAAAAGATCCCAGAATAGTTTTCCTGTTGAAATGTCAAATACTTTGAGCATTCACACTATGAAAAACTCCACGCTAAAGTTTTTAAAAGGTTTGTAGTTCGTTGCAGCTCCTAAAAGCAAATATTCACCCTTAAATAAAGTCGTCACCTGTTTTCTTCACTGACATTTGTCTGTGGGCCATCCTACATCCTACAGCTTAGTACTATAGGGTGCACAATATACATTAACACATTGTCAGTGAGGAAACACTTGGCTGCAAAGCTCACTGATTATGCTGCAGAACCTGTTTGGAGAAATTTGACATTTAATAGTTTGTTGGAGGGATATAAAAGGTGTCTAAGTCTTTAAAAATGTCCAAAAACATTACTAGATTGAATTATATAAGCCAAAAATGAAAGGTTTTACAAGCTTCATGTGCCTGAAAGTAACTTCCATCCTAATGATGGTAGATGAAAAGACCAGCAGATATATTTTATCTCTATTATAAAAACCAGTGTATCAATCACATCTTTGAAGCTTGAAATTTAAAACTAATGGCACTTTCTTTTACCATTATACCAACCATCAGTGATGTTCTGAACGTAACACATGGAAGATGCATTTACTGTGATGTTCGTTTACTGTACAAATGTCACTTCTTGGATGGCTTCCGTTTGAGACTCAGGGACCTCATGGAGCCAAACACTCTCCTCCCCAAGTCCCTCAGGGATCGCGAGCGCTGGAGGGGCATCCGTGGTGGAGGGGACGGAGAAAAGGAAGGGGAGGAGAGAGGGGAGAGGGAATGGCAGCTGCCTTCCAGGCTTTGAGAACGAGAGAGGTTGAAGAGGCTAGCGGTGGAGGACAGGCGTTTGTCTTCCTCCTTTGCTCTCAGCAGTCTGACCCCTTCCTCTTTGCTGATGTACATGCCACCTTGACCCACGTCTAATGAGGAGACCCAGTGTGCCCGCTTCGAGTGCTCTTCGCTGTGGTTACGAGGCACCAGTAAGCCTTGGGACTCACTCCTGAACAAAGCCCTTCTGGAGAGCTTGAGGCTGGAGCTGCGTCTCTCACCTTCTTCCTTCCCCTTCTTCTTTGAGAAGATGGGGGAGTTCTCTACCTTTGGCCTCTTGTCGTTGCTGCTGGATGAAGCTTTCCACCTTCGATGCTCCCTCCTCCAGCTTCCAATGCTGTTCCTCCTCCAACCGTAGCCATACTCAGCTCGGTCCATCTCCTCCCTCTCGCTTTCAGACTCTTTGCCCCAAAGGCGTCCCTCAAAGCCCCTCCAGAGTTTGTTGGAGGTCTTCCTGGGTGTCTTGGCTGCTGATCGCTCCTGTTCCTCACTCCACACGGAGCTATAGTCCTCTCTCTTGGCATAGCTGCTTACTGTGGCTGCCCTGATCAACTTGTGTGAGGCATGCTTTCCTCTGTAAAGCCCCTCCCCCTCTGCCCTCTTCCACCCACCGCTACCCCCACTTCCTCCCCCACTTTGCCGTAGTGATCCACCCCTTGGTTGGATACCGCCATGCTCCAAAGGAGAGCTCCTCGAACTGGTGCGTGGCAGAGAGCACTGGAAGGGTGCATCCCGTCGAAAAACAGAGAGTGGGGTGGCACCCAGAGGGGACGGCTGCAGAGGCCGGGGAGGGGAGCGGCCCCGGGGGTTGGGCCGGGAGGCAGGGGACGAGGCTGTGGAAGAGGGAAGGTCAGATGGGGAAGGGATCTGCTGGTAGTGGCAGTGTGAGGAGTAGTGGGGAGAGGGAATATGGATGGACTGATAAGGGTGTATGGGGCTGCTGGAGTGTGAGAGAGGAGGGGTAAGGCTGCACTGAGACTGTGGAGAATGGGTGACACTTAGAGACAGCTGTATCGGTCTCTGGGGATTCAGGTCAGTCAGTCTAGTATAGTCATGTGACTGATCAGGCGGGGCTGTCAGGTGAGTTTTACTGTGACCCCTCACCTCTCCTGCAGTATCGGTTTGGAAACAGTCAATGTCCAGCTCCACACCTTGTTCCATAAGTCCGACCACAACAGCCTTAGAGAGGCCAGAGAGGCGAGAGATCTCCCCCACCATGGGGGAGTCTTCGCTTATTTTGGGACTGGAGCTGGACTCTTGGATCAGGCTGCTGCGCTGAGATCCAGGAGCTGATCCAGAGCTTGAACCAACCACTGATGGTCCAGTCTCAGTTGGAGCACCACTGCTCCAGTCTAATGAGCGACAGAAAGCAGATGAACCAAATCCAGAACTGGGTCCAGGCCCTGAGGTGACCTCCAGGGAACTGCGGTGGCTCAGGCTGCTGGGACATGTTGAAATGCGAGGGCGAGTTCTAAGTGCTGGAGTGGGCGCAGCAGAGGAGAGCGATGTAGCAGAAGCTGTGGAAGCTGGAGCAAAGTCGCTCCTCAAAGCTCCACAACTGCCATTTTTGGGATTGTCCACCAGTCCCCGGCTAGAATTTAAACCAGGAGTCAGGTTCAGGTTCAGGTTGAGATGCAGATTTATGTTCAAGTCCTCTCCAGTTGCTGAAGGAAGGTTTCCCAGGTTGATTGAATTCCTAGTGGCTTTTTTCCCGGTAGTGCTGAGACTGACTCTGGCAGAGTTTCCCAGGAGTGACTTGCAGGGAGTGACACTGAGTGTACTGCGGCTCTCAAAGGCAGAAAGGGACTGGGTGGAACCGTGACTTTTGCCTGGGGTACAAAGGCCTCTGTGTGTGACTGGACCAAAGGTTGCAGCTGAAGTGAGATCGGAGGTGGAGGAGGTTACCCGACTGTGGTACTGTCGAGCCAGTCGAGAGATGTACTGCTCCAGCTGGGTGAAGGAAGTCAGGGCAGGTTGCTGGTGCGTCTGGAGAGGCAGAGTTAGATCAGCGTTGGACTCTTGCGGTTCATCTAGTTGGGGTCCCTCGAGGCTTGGAGATACTGATTGCTCCTGGCTCGGGGAGGTGAAGAGGGGGCTCTGGAGGGCGACGGCGTGCAGCGGGCTGGGGTAGGGGTACACCTCTTTGGTCCGACGGGACACCAGGTCTGTGCAGTAGCGAGGGTCCAGCTGGGGTTTTGGATGGAGGGAGGAGGCGGAGGAAGAGGAGGTGGAGTCAAGAAGTGGGAGGAGAGAAGAAATCAGGGAGTCACCGAGTCCTGAGCAGAGGTCAGACAGAAAACTCAGACCAGTCGCTTCAAGGTCACTTTGGACTGTAAGAGATAAAAAAAAAAGAGATAAGATTATATTATCATTCCATAAATATTTATTTATTCATCTCCACTGCTGTTTATAGCCAGAGCAGTGCTTGAACCAATTTCAGCTGCAAATTCACATTGACATGGAGGGATTAAGTACTGTCTGAGCCAGCTCACCTGAAACTGGTGTCCCTTCTGTTAGTTCAGCATCTTCCTGGCTGCTCTGCAGTGCACGCTGATGTTGCTGTTGCTGCTGTTGTTGCTGTTGTTGCTGTTGCTGCTGCTGCTGTTGCTGCTGCACTGCACCTTCTGACCACAGGATGTCAGTGTTGTCAGTAGATGGAGGAACCTGCTCCCACAGCTTCAGGGGTCTAGCTGGTGGCCCTGATCCTCCCTGAGCAGCATCACTGGACACAGAGTAGCAAGAGTCCGACAGAGAGCTCCCGCTCACTGAATAGAAACCTTGAAGAGAGAGGGAAACAAGTTCACTATGTATGTGCCTCTAATGTTATTTTTTAATATTTTTTAATAATACTCAGAGGCACTAATGATATCGGAGTCCTGACCTCTCTGGTTTTGCTGTAATATATTACCCATTATATTATTATATGTGTTATAATCAATTCTCTAGAGTAGGGATTGTTCTTATTCCCACTCCTGTTTTGTGTGTTGCCGACTTGTTGCTTTTCTTTTTATTCCTTTGTGGACTGCTCACAATATGTCACTGCTCGTTATGTAAAAAACATCACACCACATTCAACAATTTTATTCACATGAATGTCACACTGTTGCCACTTGCTGTTCCATGTACTCTTTGTCTGGTACGTCTTTGCTGATGAAGGATGTCATGTTTTCCAGTTTTTAGGTTTGAATTCAGATTCAGATTTCAGATTCTTCAACAGGAAAGTAAAGACGTATAAAATAAAGGCGTGCATGAGTGCATAGCAGGGAGAGGAATGTCTAAGTTGGGTGTAGAGACACAGAGACCACAGTTACAAAGAGAGTGGATAAGAGTTAGGCAACAAAGGCTGAAAAGTTGACAGAGAGAGAAGTCAGAGAGTCAGTGCCTAGTCACACAGTGCAAGCAAACAGAAGTAAAAAGAGTGTGGTTAATGTTTAATGGGACTTCTCTTACACAAGGTGAGCTGTACTTATATCAGAAGGTGTCAAACTGTGTTGGTCATTGTCCAGGGTAGCGCAATGGACCAAGTACTGTTGACCACTGCACACAAGTGCTTAGGGGTGTGTGTGTGTGTTTACCTGAACTAGGTCTGGAGTCACAGTCCAGATGGACCGTACCACTGGGGTCCGGTGTTGGTGGCGAGAGCAGGTCAGACGGGGCGTCCCAGGACAGAGTAGACCATCGTGAATTACTCCCCCTGCCAGATG